CATTGCGGGAAGGGTTGGGAGAGGAGTTTAGAAAGTAAAGACCCTTACCCCAAAAGCCAGCTGTACTTTCTGTGTCTGAAGTTGCATCAAAATCCACATGAAAAAGAAAGTGAATAACCACAGGGTCCTCCCTGTGACCACTCTCCCTGCCAGCCGGTTCCACCAAAAGGGTGATGTTCACCGCTTATCCCCAGCGAACTGTGGCTGTTTCTGTGGTAGCACAGGTGGCAAAGCCACCTCAGGGTCACATAAAAGTAATGGGGCAGACTTGTAGCAGGTGCAAGTCCCTGTTACTACACCAGATGATGCAATCTAGGTGTCTGAATCGAGGTGTTTGCAACGTACTGGTGTAAGGTACTGCTGTGAGGTGCCCGTGTGCATTTGCAAGACCTGGGTACACGGCTTCTTTGAAGTAAGCGCGGAGCAAAGACCGTCCCTTTCCTGAGAGATGGAGAGTCAAATCCCAAGAGGAAAGCACGAGAACTCGTGGGCCCAGCCGCTGCTCCCACACAAACTGCAGCAATTGGAAAGGGTTTAGTAACCCGTGCTCAAATGCTTTGGTGCTGGCTCACAGCACGTGCGAATCAAGCCCATCTGCATCAAAAGGCTGAGAAGAGCTTGAGAAGTGGCAGCTGTGACAAGGCAGGAGCCGACCCTGCTCACTCGGCCTCCCAGGGAAGGGGGCTGACCAGCCCACGCTCATCCCTCTTTAAAATGCCTATATCCCAAACAGAGTTAGTGCAAGCTCAGCATTCAGGAAGCTCACGTGAGTTATCAACTCAACAAAAACACACAGCTCACCTCTACGAAAACAGCCCACTCATCATAAGCTGGGGAGAGCTACCTCTCTGCCCTACTGTTCACTGACCTTCGGTTTCAGGCCTTGACACCAAAATCCAAACAGATAATGAGGGAATATTCCAGCCCACACACAACCCTGACAGTGCCTCTCTGCTTCTGATCTCTTGCCCTTTCTCTGAGCTTCCCCCAACCCCACCTGCCCCAGCGCCTGCCTAGAGCCACTCAGCGGGTCCTGCAACCCAGAGAGATGTCACCCACGGCTTTGGGCTAATCTCCCAGTGTTTATTCTTGCTGTCACAACACCTTCCTGTGTCCTCATTCAATTTGAGAAATAAATGTTCCCTGTAATAACACACAGACGGGCCAAGAGCAGGGCACCAGGATGGCTAACAGGCAACATGACCGGTAGGCAGTCCACAGTGCAGCAAATTCTGGGTGGTCACTGAAGAAGGGAGAACATCACTGTGCAAAGAGCACCTTCCTCTGGGGACCGTATCTTCTCAGGGTCCCCAGGGGGATGCAGTTCACTTGGGAGTTTGCCTTTTGGATTTCTGCTGGGCCTCTGGATTTGGACGTGAACTCATCTTTCTGCTCAGTCCTGAAGAGGTCCGGTGCCCTCCAGGGTAGCCCCAGGTGTGAGCATTTGAGCTGAGGAGAGAAAAGAGCTTTCAGCACATGGGGCTGGGGCTGGGGAAGAGGCAGGTGGTAACGTGGAACCTGACAGCCCTAACATCTGAGCCTCCTGTTGCTACCTGACGGGTCATCCCCCTGTGCCTGCCTGCACTCTCTCTCTGGCAGATGCACAGCCTTCTCTGCTGGTGGTGCAAAGAGACATTTACCCTGGCTGGAGACCTCTAGCCATGCCAATTTTCCTCTCCTGATCCTCTGTGGGCAAGCAGAATCGCCTTCCCACTCCCTCCAATGTTTCTTGGCTTAGGGATTTGGTTGCCTGTCCTTCCTCTCCCTTCCAAGATTTTTCTCGTCTTCCACTCTGCTCCCCACAGAACGTTTACTTGAGACTGGAGGCAGACACGATTTGGTGCGTGGCTGTCCCATCTCAAGTAGCTCAAGAGCACGCACCAAACCCGATGATGTTAGTGTGGAGGCTACGGCTTTGCTTGGTATAAACTCGCTTTCCCAAGCCGCCCCGTGGTAAATCCAACCCTATTAAGGCTGTACCTGCTGTAGCATGTCTTCGGGGAGTCGCTGGTTCTGCTGTCTGCGTGGGACCAGCATGGCCTGCGTGGTTGTGACAGAACTTTCATCTGCTGACAGACAGAATTGAAAAAAAAAAGTTAAATTCAAGCCAGTAAATTAGGAGGGAACATCAGAAAAGCTTTGCAGTTTGACTTGCAGTCGCAGATCTGCATGCATTTCCATTAACGAGAGGAAAAGACAGGCTTTGCCGTCAGCTCTTTGCTGAAAACCCTTGCCCAGACAGAAGACAATTCTCAGAGTGAGGAGGTAAATGAAGAAACTCACATGGCAGTTACAGGAATAGCACTCCATATGCTAGTTATGGAGCTGCTCCAGTAGTTTGGGGACAAGGAAAAGATCGATTCAACTGTGACCTGTTCCACATTTAGTAAAACAAATGGCTTAAAAACAGATACATGGCATGGAGGGACCTCTCTCTTAGTTGCAGAGTACTGGCCATCAGAAACAGGAGTGAACGTCAGAGGAGGATTTTCTTAACGCCTTCCATGACCAGCTCTAACCACATCCCTTCCTGAGGTTGCATAAGCACAGCTTTTGATCAAAATCCTCTCCTTCCTCCCGGATACAAACGCAAAACAACTTCTAAAAACAAATGTAGCAAGGGAGAAAGATCGAGCCACTGGTTCATGTCCCAGAAATCATTCACGTCACCTAAACATGCTAAACATTGCTGGATGATGGCAGCGAATGCCTATGGCTGGCACAGGCACCGAAGTGGCTGGTAAGCAAGATGTCATTTGGAGGGGTGAAAGTGCCCGAGCTAAGGAGCCGCTGTGAGAACCAGCACCAGCAGGCATGGGGCTGAGCACGGCTGTCCTGCCCGGTTTTGGGGTAAGTCTCGTTTTACTAAAGACCTGATGCTGCACCAGTGCCTTCCTGCCATCTCCAACCCAAGACGTTCGGGCTGCCTCCTTTCCCAGAGCACCAGGCATCGCTGTCCCTTGCACAGAGCCAGGAGAACCTCAGCAGGCTTCATCTGGCACCACGACAGTCTGAGCAACGCGGCCTTACTGTGGTCGTTGAAGGGGATGTGGCTCTCACGGTGGCTCTTGCTGTCTGCCATCACCCTCTGGCTCTGGCAGGGCGGCTGATAGTCTGAGTGCTGCGTTGTGCTGAAGAAACGGGAGCCTGAACACACATCTCCCAAGCAGATGTTGCTTCGATGTTTCTGAAGTAGCAAGTCAGGCTTCGGTGCGAAGTTCCACCTGTCAGTCTGGAGAACGCAAGAGCTGCTTTAACCGAAACAGGCTGTAGCTGAGAAAGGCGCCCTATTGCACATCACACCCTGCACAGCCCAGAGTCCGGCATTGCCACACCGTGCGGGGAGGGGAGAAGGGACAACGACGTCGGCTTTAGGTGCCAGAGTAGTGTACGTAAAAGAAGAGAGGGTCTCCACTAGAGAAACACCCGCACGGCAAAGCTGGGAACAGACCTCTGGGTAGGAGAGCTGCATAGTAGTAGTTCTTGCCAACGCTTGATTTCTCTCAGGGCCTTCATCACCTCTGGGGATGGATGAGGCGTATTTGTTTGGACAAGCGATAGTCACAGGCTCTGGCAAAAGTGAGAGTGAAGGATGTCAGAGCACTCCGGTCTCTGAACAATTTACAGCTACCGCAGCTTCTCCTCATGCAATAGAGCACAGGCATGAACACAACTATTTAACCTGCCAGGGAAGTGGAGTGAGGATGAAACAGAGCCTCACAGTAACGACACTGATGCCGAGTACATAAAAACTGTAACACATTAAAAATATAAAATTATATACATATTGTAGGAATGCATTATATCTTTATCTATAATTATATCACTAAAACCTACAGTTCAGCTCGTTATAAACCTCAGTAGTGGTCTGTACACATTGCCTCTGTGTCACAGACTTACCCTACCTATACTGTGTACTGGGAAGAGCTCTGACATCAAGGTGGAGAATCTGGTGCAACCATCCCCCAGCTGCAGGTTCGTGCGGTGGATCTGGGAGGCAGCATGTTCCTTGCCATAGACTCTGCAAGACATCAGATATGAGCTGCTTAAATAGCAACGTTCATCAGAAAGAGCAGTCCCTGGGGATGCCCATCAGGTTCTCCTGCTGATACCTGCGTGTCCTCTTGTCTGGGGCACGGTGGGCATGCTTCTGCTCGCTCACAGATCCACTGCTTCTGGGATCCCCAAATTTAACAGCAGACTTGTGCTGAAGGGAAGCCAACAGAGCTACACAACAGCCACTTAAAGCAGAATCCCTTGGTTTTCCCTCTCTGTCTTTCCACCCATTCGATTTTCCCTCACACAGATCCCACCCCTTTCAGGACAGAATTCAACATGGGAACGCGTTGCCCTTTAACTGTGTCTTGGTCCTCCCCAAAATCGTGCTGTTACCTTTTCATTTGGCTTTGCAGGTGGACTCCATTCACCCTTGAACTGTGCTTGATAAGAAGTGTGGTAGTAGGACTGTCCATCCCCTTTGACAGTGGGAACACATCCTGCCAAACAGCCAGAAGGGGAAATGAATGGTGTTATTTCTAAAAATGCTCTATTTAGCCTTGTAAGGAAATATTAATGATACTGAAGCTGCAATGCCAAGGCAGCTGCTCATTTAGCATTTTAGTACTACTGAATCAATTTTGTGTAATGAAATAGCAAAGCAATTGACACTGGATTGCAGAGAGGTGAGCCGCAACCCCGCAGAACATGGATGCGGTGTGCCAGAAGCAATGCAGTTCTGGTGTGAAAACTGCAGCATCTGAGGATACAAGAAGCATAAGAAGACAGCTGGAAAGGCTCCGCAGCAAAAGCTTGGCTGGTGAGTGGCTCTAGTTAGTGCTATTAACCGGTTTTATGAGCATCAGGTTGACTTACTCAGCTATAAAAAGAGAAAGCAAAATATCCAAATAGTTCTAACAACTTTAATTGCTCGCAGAGCCAAGCCACCGAACCCAGGTGGCTTTGTGCAGCGCTGAGGACTGCGGGGAAGGTCTGTTGGGGACGGACCCGCCTGTGAAACAGCTCACCCTGTGCCAGTGCCATGGCCTGGCAGCGTGCTGGATCTCATGTGCTGGGTACGAAAAAGCATAGACGGATGGAGGGAGCCTTATTTTCTGTCTGTCTCCACGAGGAATATTATCCTTCCATTTCTTGGCCG